TTACGAAAAAAGAACTAAACAAAATGAACACAAAACGATCAGCTTTAAAAAAGGACTCGTAACTGGAAAAACCGAATGAAAAAAATGTTAAATACTTTTTCACACCCAACCCAGTTCTGCAGAATCAGAATCAACGTTGAGTTTAAGCAAGCGAATGAGCCAGTTGGAGTAAAATGCCATGCAGATTTAAATTTTTCCCACTTGTGACGAATGCAGCTATCGATTTTTTCGTATGCTAGTTAACATTCGTGTCAGTCAGCTGTTGGCTCTCACGCTGGTCAGTAGAATCTTCCTGCCTATTCGAGGCAGCCAGCTATTGGCTCTCACTCTGGCAAAGTCGGTCTTGGCATTCTCGCTAACTTGGAGCATGTGCATGTAAATTTTGGTGCAAATCCGTCGAAAATTGCGGCCGTGCATTCGTTACACACACACATCCTGCCTATATATATATATATATATATATATATATATATATATATATATATATATATATAAATCTGTTTTATATGGCGAACAACATGGTTCAGAAAAAGAATTACAAATAAACATATCTAAAAAAAGACAATTGTGATTATCTGTGGTGTACACACGGGCCACGTGTTTTGGTTAAAATTAAATCGGTTTGCACGAAGAAATCTTCCCGACAAGGAAGAATCCGGTGTTGTCACAAGTGCATCTTGTGGGTGAGAAAAAGTGTTGTATAATTTTCAATTTGTAAGAATTGGATACAGTATGCGACGAAAGAGGCCAAAAAACAGTGTAAATAAGATCTTTTGGTGAACGAGAAAATATTCGAACTGATGAGTCGGTGATTGTCTATCCAAGTTAGTAATAGGACTGAAGACCCTTCCTCCGTTTTTGGCCTCGTGTCGTATTTGTGCAATACATACAGCACAACAAGCGGAAGGACATGCCTATCAAAACATTTAAAACCCTTGAAGTCTGATGAAAAAACATATGAAATGGACATATTTATTTTCAGCATCTCGGAAAGCTGTTTCACTTTAACCTATTAAAATGAAAGTGATTTTAAAATGGTATTACTTCTTAAATTTTAAAATCTTAACGTTAAAAATTAAATAAAAGTTTAACCCTAATTTAAGTTAGATACATAGGAGAGACGATGGAGTAATGGATAGTGGCTCGGATAAAGGAATTGGAGAGCAGAGTTCGAATTCCTGTCGAGTTTTAGATTCTCATACCCTTGAGAAAGGTATAAATCCATCTCCCCACCCCTTCCTCATCCTCACTATGGGTAAATAACAGGACAGACTGGGTACTATAGCCTTGGTCAGCGACTAGCCTAGGAGAAGGTAAACTGCTCAAATCGGTCTGGAGAGGGTTGGACTCCGTCAGGCTATCTTTTCCAACACACGCCACTGCAGTCCTACGTCGCTAATTATCATGAATTAGATACATTTTTATTTTCCACCCCAAATATCGGTGTTGGATTGACATAGTGTTTTCCGAAAGAACGAGAAAAAATTACAACTCGAAAGTGCCAATGTGAATTGTTCAAATCTCGGCGACATAACATTCATATTTAAGCCATTTTTTAACTCTGTAGGAATTCTACGGTCAATAATTTTGAAAAATAGTTAAAATCTTTTGTCGAGTTTAGTTCTCTCCTTGTTACTGACTCGGAAACAAACAAAAGCTAAAAGTAACCTGATTGATTAGCATATTTTCATCAGTAACCATTTCAATACCCGTTTCTTTGCTGACAGATGATCAAATTTCAAACGTGTAGGGTTTTCCATTTAAATCCTACATTTATTAGAAAATATTCAGATTAAATACAAGAGTTTAAAAAAAATGCTTCAAATGGCCGCACTTTTCGACTTCTCTTTTCCCGTTCCACAGGAGTTGATGCCAAACAGGAAAATCAACCCTCGCGGCATAGATGATCATTTTCTTTCTAGTCTCAAACTTTGATTTTATTGCTAGGGTAGGAGTCGTTCAGATCGAGTGCGGGGGATGTATTATTCTAATGTCTTATTCCAAACTGTCAAGTTCTCTGTGTACAGTCTTGCGCTTAGGTTAAATGGCACAAACTGATGCGAGTCACACGCAACACGTACATTACGTAACAACACATGCAAAGTAACATGCTGACCGTGTGTGACGGACACTTTGCGCTTTAACAATTATATAGGATACAAATCCTATATTCCAACAAATGACTAAAAAAACACAAAGTAGATTTGCACACCCGCAAAATCGTATCAAAACGACCAAAAACAGATTTCACAATAATGTGTGAAATTAATTTTCTGACCAATGAAAGGAGGCGATTTGCTAAACCAAAAAAAAAGATAACGAGCCAGTGTAAAAAAAAAAAAAAAAAAATCAACAATAAATACAGAGTTTTCAAGTCAGTCGCCAGTCAGTCAGAGAAGGGCGCAAAAGATCACAGAAGATTGACAGTAAATTTCATCACTGACTCAAACTTACACAAAGAGCCGAAAAGTGGAGTAGAAGGAACAACAACAACAAATTTACAACTGACTTCAAAACAATTCATAAGTACGTTTTCCTTTTATCTTTATTCCTCATTCACACTCTCTTTTTCAACTTAAATTGCTCGCCCTTTTTCATTTTACAACTATACAAAACAAAAGAAACACATTATTCTGCTACTCTGTTAAAAGACAACGAACACAGACATTTTCATCAAAATCACAATTTTGTTTAAACGAACTAAAACATTAATCTTTTTTACCCTATTCACAAGATAATAAATATACAATGTTGTATTTTCTATAGACGTTCCTTATCGTGTTGTTTCTTCTTGAAATTTGCGTTGTATTTTGTGGGCAGGGTATCCCGTATTAAATTCTCCTTTAATCCGGGTACGCTGAACCCCACAATTACATGTTTCAGATTGTTCTATTTCCACAAGATCAACACTGCTTTGTTACATCGCCTTTACTGTTCAAGAAAATAATTTTCCGATATAAAACCTTTATCCTTGTAAAACTGGATAAGTATTACATTAATCCTCACTGGCTTACTCATTACTATTGGCTAGTGATGGTCCTAGGGTTGCTGGCACACCGAGCAAGATGAAATTCGGCGACCTTACGAGTACTTTTTTTTTTTTTAATTTTCACAAGGAGAAAAACTGAATGTAGAATAATGAGTCTATTACAATATAAAACTTAATACAAACTAAAGAAAACGTATTATCACACCTACATTTTTTAGCTTTTAGATCTGCAAGTCTTTTAATGGTACTATCTACACCTATCTTCTTTACAAGATCATTTTCTATTGACAGATTAAATTCTTTGGATATTTTGTCTTGAACCATGGCCCACTGCAACTGTGTTTTTATAAGCTTTAGTTCTGGAAGATCACAAACACTGTAGCATGATGGCGCACCGGGCGACTGCCAGAGTTGTCAGTAATTAGTCGGCCCTGATCGTGGCTTTGTGCCAAAACTAAAACTTTGTGCTTAGTAAATAACGAATGCAAAAACATGAAATTTAAACTTTTTTTTTAAATTTTGTATAAAATTTTTTTCTAACATTGTATGACTAAAGAATTAGTTCATTAAAAAAATTTAAGTTGAAAATTATACCCATGCCAAATATATCTCCAGTAACACAACGGAGATAGCCAGATATATTTTAAAATATGCAAGATTACACGAAATTTGAAGATAGGGATTACAGTTGACCATATTGTTATTTTGTGTGTGTGTGCTTAGTTCAGTAAGATTTTCTCTTGAAACCTCTTCCAGTTTTTAAAGGTTCTTCATTTGAAGACTGATATTTATTCGTACAAAAAGTACAAATTGTGGCACGAGGCCAATAGTTTCTTCATTTGAAGACTTGTGAGTTTTGATTTTAGCGAAAACTATTCCTTTTCAGAAAAGTAAGGAAAACTTAACGAAAAAAAAAAATCCATAATTCTCGTAAAACGCATCATAAATTGACGTTATTAATTTGGAGACGCGATTTTAAATTAGAATTTTTTAAACAGGTTTTCATCTTTCTATTCTTTTGTAAAAATGATACGTTAAAATTAAAAATGAAAACAAAATATAGGCAACATTCCAGACAAGTTTATTTTTGTATTAGTTTTGATACTAGCTCATAAAGGTAAAACAAAACTTAAAATGTTTTCTTTGTGTCTCCAAATAAACCTATTTAAATATTTCTTCCCTTTTGGACGTCTTGTATTCAATAAATTCAACAAGGATACTTCTGTCTGAATTATTGACAGTTTGATTTGAAATAAAATATCTTTTTTTTTTTTTTTTCTTTAATGCATAAAAATTGGAATGAACGATTAACTTAAATTTAGACCCCATGCTAATATTGTCGAATAAATTTCCGAATTCTAATGAACTCCGGAGTCGAGTTCGAATTCCAGTCGGGTTCGTTACATTATGTATCCATCTCCCCTGCTATGGGTTGAATAACAGGAGTGACTGGGTCCTATAACCTTGGTTGGCAACCAGTCTACCACAAAAACAGCACAGCCTACTGCAGAGAAAATCTTCTGCTTAATCAGTCATGAATCGAAGCGTGTATGGCACATTTAACTGACTGAATTAATTTTTTAAAATTTTAATATTTTTACATCTTTTAAGCAAAACTTTTGAAAAACAGCTTCCCTCTATTTTCGTGATGTTAAACTGAAATTTCTTAAATTTTGCTTTTGAAAAGTTTAACATGAGTTAGAGCTTTCAGCTTAATTCCAGAAAATGTGGTTTTTTTTTTTTTTTTTTTTTTTTAAAAAGAAAAAAGACCTTAATGAACGCCGTCTCGTTTACCTGAAGTTTTGATCCCACTTCAGTGCGTTTAAAGTTGCATTGAATTTTTAATAAAATTTTGTAAATTTGGATATTTTTCCTATCGATTTAAAAGTACAAATTTAAAATCAAATTCGTGAAATTCCGTGATTATTCGTAAATTTCCGTATTCCGCTTAGCCTCGTTTTGACTTGTACGCCGGGTACCATGTGATTGTTACTGTTACTTCAGACCTAACATGGCTTCTGAACAAGTTGACGATAGAGAGGTAACGTATAGATTTTCATGATTTTTGTTTTTTTTTTAATTATTTATTACCGTCTCTTCCATCGTTAAGTTTTCATATTTACTCTTAAATCTGGTTTTTAGTTAGATCGATTGTTTGTTTACTGATTGCTTTTTGTGACTGTATATAAAATATTTTTGTCTAATCAAACGATGAAATAAATCCCACCTCGTCTCGACTCCTTTATTATTTCACTCAAGACTTCTTCGTGGCTTCTTTTTTTTTCACATATGTCTTTCTTGTCTATAATCGTCACTGGCACATTTTAGATTCTCTACTTGCAAAATGCAGTGTTCAGCTGATATTTTTTTTATTTCTTGTATCACTTTTTACAGAAAATAATGTTTCTGATTATATTTTTAATTTTAAAATACACATGTGTTACTACTCTGAAAATGCTAAACTTTTCTTTTAATTGGTAAAATTCCAACTGATTTTGTGGACGCTTTAAGTTTTTCGCACCACTTTTCTCAACTTATTTTTTTCAATTTCGTTATTTTATTTTTTTTTGTTTTAAATCTTTTAACGTGTTTTGTTGGCAGCTTAAAAATGCACCCTACAAAAGGTCGGACACAGCGTATTTTAAATATATTATATTTTAACTGTGTCTTTAATGTCTACCTTGCACAATCATATGCTGAAATTAGAATATTTATTTTAAAATAGAATCTTCATTAACGAAGACGTTACGCTAAATTGGTGCAAGAGTAAAACCAAGTGGCGGCTTAACTTCCCTCCCCCTCCGTCACTATTTCCTCCTCTTTCTTCACCTCACGTTCATTCTCTCTCCTCTCCCTTTTTCTGTTGTACTCTGATGCACCCCCCTTCTTCTCACGTATACTTTCTTTTTCTCCTCCTCCTTCCTATTATTATTGTTTCTCTTGAATCTGTTTGTCTAAATGATTCAGTCTTTCCTCTCTTTATCGTTCTTTATTTTCTCCTCCGCCTTTTCCTCCTCCTTGAATGCCTGAAAATTTTTTCGGTCGTCACCATTTTTCTCGTTTTCTGCAGTTTCTCTACCCAAAGTTTTTTTTAGTTTTTCTTTTTCTTTTACTTTTCCGTGTCTCGTCCATATTAGTTCGTTTGTCTTTTCTCATCGCATTCTCGGTCGATCTGTCTTGTTAAAATCGTACCTTCCTTTTACAGTCAATAAAATTTTTTACCGGCAATTCCTTTGGAGAGACGAAATTTGGGGGATTAGAAAAATAAATAACAAAAAACTATGACCACTTGAAATAATTTTGCTCTACGATAACTTTTATTTAAGAATAAAATCTGAAGTATTTTTCTTTTATAACCCGACCAAAAACTACCAATTATTTGTGTATGGGTGAAAAATATTGTTACCCCATCCCAACCTGTCAAAATGTTTCAAGAAATGTCATTTTTGAGGAGAAAAGTTTTGAATATCCAAGAAATCTGAAAAATTTGCGATACCCTCTTTAATTATTTTAATTCTTAAATTGGTATCTGTAATCTTTTTAATTAATTGAAAGAAATCGTTTGCCAAATATTTTTAGTACCATATGGGTTGCATGGATTTTGTATTCTCCAAATTGAGATTTACAAATAAAATAAAGCTTTTTTTTTTTTTTTTTTTTTTTTTAAAATTCCTTGTGCCACGTTTTTTTTGGTTTGTTTTCTTTTTTCGATATAAAAGGAAACAAATTTTATCCTTTTTTGCTTTAAATTTACAAGATGCCCAAACAATAGTCGAAAGAACCTTTTTCCTTTTTAAAAATGTCTTTTTGATTTTTGCTTCAACAATTGTTGCTATTTTGTAATGACTTATTTTCAGACATTTAATTAAATTCTGATTAGATTTGATTTCCCCCTTTTTCTTTTTTTGTTTTAGTTCCTGATAGTTAAAAAAATCATTTTGGATTCTTATAGGTACCTCTACGAAATCGCTAAAAAACAGAAAGTATAGCATGATGAAAGACTCCAAACTTGACGAAAACAAAATTTTATCGTCTAAATGTTTATTATTAAGAGGAAAGATCAGTTTTTTTTTTAATTTTTCCTTTTCAGAACTTTCTAAATTTTGATTTTAAAAAAAAAAAAAAACCGTGTTTCTCTTTGTATCACCGGAACTAGTAAAATAACATACAATTTTTAGCAAGTTTTTTGTATGACACACATTAATTTGGAAAATCTTGCAAAAATAAAAATAATTGTCTGATGTTAATGAAACTTTCAGAAACTATTCACAGATGATCGAAATTATATTTTTTTTTTTTTTTATTTTATTATTAAAGTCATGTCAGAAATTATATATATATATATATAATATACCCACTAATTTTATGAAAACGCTAGAAATTCGATCACATCGGGTTTAGTGATTACAATAGAGGCTTTAAGGAATGCAAATTTTTTTTTTTTTTTTTTTTTTGGATCCCTACCTGAAAATCAGGTCAGAATTGTAACATACAAAATCAATAAAACAAAGATATTTAATTTCAAATGCTTTTAGTAGTTTTTATAAATATGGACAATTTCTGAAAGCAAAAAATTTTTTTGCTGAAAATGAATTTTTAATAATTATTTGTTATTCCTTTAATTATAGATTTTCATATTTAAGTTGTTAAAATATTATAAAATTAGTTAAAAGCCGCATTGGGTTTCCTAAGTGTTCTTATGGGTTTTTTTTTTTTTTTTTTTTTTTTTTTTTAGCTAGTTGTAAATTGTATCATTTTGACAGATCAGAAGATCCGCAGTAATTAAGAAATATAATTGGGCTGTAATTATAAAGTACGGGAGACCAACCAGAATTTATACTTAAGTTGTGTTATTCGAGTTAAGCATTGTTCTCCGCTGTTAAGGCTTTACTTTTGCGAAGCACCTGTGGAGAAGTTAATTTGGTTTTTCAATTTCAACTGAGAAGGGTACCTACAAGTATCAGTATCATCTTATGAAATTTATGATCTTATTCTTATATTAATCTCAGTTGTGACATTTTTCCATAAATGAAATTTCAAAATTAATAATAAAATGAATGGAAATACAAATAACACAGTAAAGTGTAATAAATGTACATTAGTATTTTATGTACACTTCTGATAAAATTTCATAAGAAAGGTACCTATAAAATAATTAGATACCTTTCTTATGAAATATGAAATTTAATCTCACTTTTAAGTCTTATTTTAATTTCTTTATAATATATTTTCCATAATGCATTGTAAAGGTGAAAGCTAAGTACCAAAAAAAAAAAAAATTAGAGTGCTGAAAGTTTTCCTTAAAAATAACGAGGTAAATAATTTGTTCACTTAAATCTAAATAACTACTCTTTTTGCCTCCCGTAAATCCATCAATACGTCATTCAACACCTGTTATGTGACACAAAAAGGTCATGACCTGCTTTGTTTTATTTTCAAATTACATCTTTTCGGTGCAGAAGCTAGGTTAACCTTGGTTCAAAATATTTTAAATAAACATAATTTCTGATTTTCTTAAAATAAGTTTTGAAAAAATAATTGATTTTTGAAAGAATTTCAAACTGAGATTTTCATTTTTTTTTATAAAATAGAAAAAAAATGGATGCGATAATCTATTATCTGTCAATTTTGCTGACTCAAAAAAAAAAATCTTTAACAAAAATTTTGGATGTGCTCAGAACAATTAAAAAATGTTTAAAAAAAAAAAAAAAAGGACCCCAAAAATACTTTGACCTTTCCTCTTAATTACATGAACATTTAGACGATAAAATTTTGTTTTTTGTCAAGTTTGACGTCTTTTTCATCATGCTATGCTTTTCTTTCAGCCATTGCATGGAGGTACCCATGTTAAAAGAACTTTTTTATTTGGTGTGAGTACCAAAGAAAAGCATTATTTAAGGTTTAAAATGAATTTTTGTGAAGATTTTTTATTTTCAAGCTAATGCATTTTAATATTTCCAATAAAAACTTTGCTGTATTTTAAAATTATATTGATTAGAATGTTTTTTTTTTTAAATTGTTGAAAATGGCTGACTCCCCATATTTACCAATCTGTCGTCACAAATTCTTTTATTAAAAAATATTTTAAAAAAAAAAATATCCTTTTCTGAAACTTTGGAAGATAGCTGATTTAAAGTTTGATTTGATTTGAAATATTGCAATTTGGGTGTTTTTTTTTTTGTTGTTTTTTTTACCCCGAGTGTTGACAACTATCGCAATACTTATGTTTAGGAAATGTTTTCTACAGAGGACATATCTGTAAAAAAAATGCTCGACAAATATAACATGAGCAAGTTTATTTTTAAATACCTGGTAATCTTAAAAATTTAGGAAAATATTCTAAGTAATCTGTTATATTAAATTTTAAGTACTTTGGTTTTGAATTTACTATAGCTATCACTCTTATTTTCTGATAATTCATATGGATGTCCATATTTACAAAAATCGGCATGTTTACAGACAAAAATAAACTATTCTTTTTCAAATAATAGTGGGGGTCACTGAATTGTAAGCATTTCATTGTTACTTAATATTACCTGATTGCTACAAATTAATACATAATTTTAAGATTCTAACTAAATTATTCTAGTTTAAAATGTCGGTACCTTCATGCTATCACTAAAAAGAGTATAGCATGATGTAAAAGATGCCAAACTTGGCGAAAACAAAACTTTATCATCTAAATATGTTATTATTAAGAGAAAAGATCAAACTATTTTTGGTATTTTTTTTTTACATTTTTTAATCGTCCCTATCACGTCCAAAATTTTTGTTAAAAATTTTTTTTTTTTTTTTTTTTTTTAGCCAGCAAAATTGACAGATAATCAATCATGTCAACCATTTTATAAAAAGAATGAAAATCTCGGTTTGAAATTCTTTTAAAAATCAACTAATTTTTTCAAAACTTATTTTAAGAAAATCAGTAATTGTTTATTTAAAATTTTTGGGACCAAGCTTAACTTAGTTTCTGCACCGAAAAGACGTAGTTTGAAAATAAAACAAAGCCGGTCATAACCTTTCGCGTCACTTGACAAGGTGACAAAAGACATTTATGATGTTTTGATAGCTTACCTTGGGATAATTCCTTCTACGGAAGGAGAGATGTGAAGTTTTTTGGATTTAAGTGAACAAATTATTTACCTTATTTTTATGGAAAACTTTCAGCGCTCTAATTTTTTTTTTTGTACTTAGCTTTCACCTTTACGTTTATGGAAAATATATTATAAAGAAATTAAAATAAGACTGTAGAGAGTATGATTAAATTTCATATGAAAGCTATCTAATTAATTTATAGGTACCTTTCTTATTAATTTTTATCAGAAATGTACATAAAATACAAATTTAAATTTCATAAGATGATGCCAATATTTGTAGGTACCCTTCTCAGTTGAAATTGAAAAAATCAAATTAACTTCTCTACACGTATTTCACAAAAATACTATGAAAAAAAATATTTTTGCTATGACTTTAAAAAAGAAAAACATAAGTTCCATCATTTGTGAATAGTTTCTGAAAGTTTCATTAAAATCCAACAATTATTTTTATTTTTGCAAAATTTTCAAAATTAATGTCTGTCATACAGAAAAAAAAATGAGCTAAAATTTTATTTTACTAGTTCCAGAGAAACAGAGAAACAATGTTCTAAAAAGAAGGAAAAATTTTAAAAATATTTTGAACTTTCCTCTCAATAATAACAAACGTTTAGGCGATAAATTTGTTTTGGTCAAGTTTGGCATCTCTTTCATCATGCTATGCTCTTTTTAGTGATCTCATGAAGATACCTATTAAAACATAAACAAAATGAATTCTTGTAAAAAATAATTCATTATTAAAAAAAAAAAAAAAAATCTCAAGACAAATGCCCATAATATATCTTATTCATAAAAACTTTTCTAATTAAATGTCTTAGTTTTATTGCTTTTCTTATTTTATGGTTCAGAGCAAATTTTCAGTAACGGGCATCCTGTTTTACAATAACAAAAAAAAAAAAAAAATTAATTCTCCAAGCATTTCTGCTTACAAGTAACATCAACATTAAGCCATAGGAAAATGAATTTCTTGAAATTTCATAAGTGGGTTAGAATAACGTGTGTAATATATATATATATATATATATATATATATATATATATATATATATATATATATATACACACACAAGTGTAACCTGGATATAAGAGAGTTGTCGGGACTGGAGAAGTCTCTTATAGTCTATTTTGTTTACATTAACACAGGCTCTAATTTGGGACCAGAAAATCTCTTATATCCGGGTTTGGTCTATTTTGTTTACATTAACACAGGCTCTAATTTGGGACCAGAGAAAATCTCTTATATCCGGGTTTGGTCTATTTTGTTTACATTAACACAGGCTCTAATTTGGGACCAGAGAAAATCTCTCTTATATCCGGGTTACACTGTATTATAAAGCAAGATTTTGTGACTAGGTTTTGCAAGGATTTCCAAATCCATGCTTTCACTGCAAAAGATACAAAAATTCTCCATACTAATTTATGGTAACCTGCTGCAAGACAATTCTTAAATTTCTAAAAAAGATTAAAAAGATTAAAAAAATTTTCTCTCTTTTTATATATATGCAAGCTCATCTTTTTAGCAAATCTTTGGATGTACCTAATCTAGAAATATTACATAAAGCAAATGTTTGTTGAAAGCCTTGAATTCTGAATTCTTAAAAGCAATTTTAAAATTTGTTTCGGAAATTCTATAACTTTGTAGAAAAGAATTTCACTCTGCGAAAAGTACAGTGTTTCACTTTGAACACACACACACTAATGATAAGTGCATAAAAAACTAAAGATGAGAAAAATTCACTTGCTAATACTCCCTGACAATTGGACAGATGGAACCATCTATGTAATTCTGGAGTCTGAATGGTAAATCTAACATCAATCAGCTAAGTGACAAACTTATATTAATTATATGCACACATAGGTAGCCTTCTTTTTCCTCTTCTAGGCTGATCTCTTTGATTCGCAAGAACATTGGAAGCCAAAAAAAAAAAATCTTTGGTTGACTCTTTAAATTTATTGAAGTTTAACTATTTATAAGTTTCTCATGAAATGACTGAAATTGGATCATTACATGCTTGCTGTCATCAGTAATAGTTTTTGGTTTTTAAGCAAAATACCTTTCCTTTCGAAGATCAAAGGGATTTTTTTTTAATTAAATGAAACTTAGTAACCCTTAATGGGTTAGGTTAATTATGATAGAATTGTAAAAAAAATCCAATTTCTCTTTTTACTGGAACTCCAACTTTGAGAAAATCTTTTCATTTGTCACTGTGACCCTTTCAGGATGTTGCAAAAAATTTACCAATTTAGACTTTTTGTTTTCTTTTGTAGTTCATGCATGAAGAGAAATGTTTCTATTAAAAGCTGACCAGTCACTTAATTTTTAGACAGTCTTACAGATATAATTAATGATAATTAAAAATTTGCAGTGGACAATTTTTGTCCATGTTTTATTTCTATCCAAAATATGGGAGTTTCTTTTAGATTTTGTAATATCTAACTGCAAGAAACTGTATTAATTTGCATTTTGGCTTTTTAAAATGGGCAATTTTTTTCTCACCTTTCTTTGTGCTCTGGATTTTCTCTTCAGTTTCAAAATATAAAACATTTGCCAAATCTGATTCTTACTTTTTCTAATTTTTTTCATGGCACTCATAATATCCATGATTTTTTTTTTTTTTTTTGTAGCAATTCTTTATGCAACCTGAAGTTAATATAAAAAAAAAAAAGTTGGCTTTTTGTAGTTAAAATTGACAGGTTTAATCAAATAGCCAAAAAGTTTTACTGACATTTAAAAATCAAAAAAAAAAAAATTTAATGTTTTGCTATTAGGACTGTCTAGAATTCCCCAATGTATAATTTGCTGAGGTTATAGTGATTTTTCTTGGACAATTAGATTCAAAATTGTGCAGACTTTTCTTTAAGTGATAATCTACTTTTGAGTTTAGTCCTCATGGCATCTTGATGTGTTTTTTACTTTCAGGAAACCCGACCCAGCCCTGATCCTGATTCAGCTGAGGAGAATTCTGAATCCTGCGACACTGTCAGCCCGGACGCTCTCATCAAACACCCGTTGCAATTCAAGTGGGGGCTCTGGTTCTATAAAGTTGACAAAGCTAAAACTTGGGCATCAAATTTGAAATTAGTCACCTCATTTGACACTGTGGAAGACTTTTGGTCGTGAGTTTTTTTTTTTTTTTTTTTTTTTTGTTTTTTTGGGTTTTTTTTTCTAACCAAAACAAAATTGGGTTCAATAGTCCAAACAATTCATGGAATATATTCTTTCTCCTCTTCAATTTAGATTGTACAACCATGTCCAAAGAGCAAGTAAACTCCCTCCTGGCTGTGATTATTCAATGTTCAAGGTAAGTAACTTTTTTTCTTTTTTTTTTTTCCTCTCTCTTTCTCTCTCATATACTTGGAGTAGTGAAGATGTCTGTCTGTAAGAATCTCTAGTTTGCATATGTTACAGCAGGTAAGAGGATACTTGAATGATTATCAAAAGTTCCTACATATAAGTTGCTAGCTCCAAATATTGATCTTATTTATAGAAAAGTAAGTTGCATATTGAGTTTTTGCTACTTTTAAAACAAAAAGTTGATGTCAAATGAAATGTTTACAATAGCTTACACTTGATTCTACCTCTGTGCACATACTAAATTAAAAGAACTCAGAGATCCTTGCCTGGTCCTATTCTCTCTCATGCATGCATGTATACATACCAGTTGCCAAATAGAATGAAGAAACCAGGATAATCGTGAATATTTTTGTGTGTTCGTGTAAAAATTTATGCTGAAAAAATTTTTTTTTTTTTTTTTTAAACACAAATATACTCAACATGAATCACTTTGACATCAAAATATCGATTGTCTTTTTCTCTTTTCTCTTTAAAGGATGGCATTCAACCCATGTGGGAAGATGAACAGAATAAACAAGGTGGCCGATGGGTTATCAATTTAAATAAGCAACAGCGGCATTTAGAATTAGATAATTTCTGGCAGGAAACAGTAAGTAGATCCTCTGTTTGAAGCTTACCTCTTCAAAAATCATATATATATATATATATATATATATATATATATATATATATATATATATATATATATTCACAATTTAATTTGGTAATTTAATAGATTGTTTTGGTCTTGCTGGAAATGTTTGCAAAGCTTGTTCTGGCATCATGTATGTATGAAATGGCCAATTTTTCCCCTTTCCTTTTCAGTTACTGTGTTTAATTGGTGAAGCATTTGATGACAGTAGTTTCAATGTATGTGGAGCTGTTGTTAGCATCCGAAATAAAGGGGATAAATTGGGGCTGTGGACAAGAGATGTAAGGAATGCTGAAGCAAATCTTAAAAAATAGTATTTTTTTTTTTTTTTTTTTTTTTGTCTTTTAACACACACACAAAACAGTACAGGAGCATGTGGATGTGATTACAATCAAGTTAACACACAGTCAACAACAGGCACCAGAAATGGCTAAACTTTGGTTTTAAAATTTTTTTTTTTTTTTTCCCCCAATATAAAATTCACTTGTAAGACTTTTCTTCCCTAACAGTTTTTGAGAGATGAATTAATTGCACTAATAGCATTTCAGTTTAAAAATCTGATTATTTTGGAATAATTATAGATTCTAATATCAAGATTTTTTCGTGTGTGTAATATATATATATATATATATATATATATATATATATATATATATATATATAGCTGTTGATTAAATTCAGTATTCTTATTCCAGATTTGAAATTGATCTTTCCACATCAAGGTCTTGACATACAGAGTTTAAATCCACCTGAGCTGTACAGAAGTACAATGACTTCTAGAGTTGAAAACTTTATCAACATTTTAAAGGTTGGGATATTGAGGTGGCTCTTTAAAAAAAAGCACTTATTGCATTCTCCTGGTAATTTTTGCCCAATGCACCAGTCCTGAGAGCAGTGATCATAGCAAGTAAATTCATGTGTATTCTTGTTGGTTTCTTCACAGGCAAGATAGTTTTATATATTTTAATATATTTTAGTTAATTCCTTGAACCTATGGACAGGTACAAGTATAGGATCTGTCCTGTGTTATATTTTTATTGAAAAGGCAGCTTGAGTGACTGATCTGTTGTTGGTCATTTGGCATTTCAAAATTTCACCTTAACTTTTGTTCACCTAGATTATTCCTTTATTAACAATTTTTTTTTTTTTTTTTTTTTTCCAGACACAAATTGAAGGAAAGACTTCATATACCATCAAAGATATCTATAGGATATCAGGTAAATTTTCATTTTCTCTATACAAAGTTTGATGAGCTAAATTTGGTTTTCAATATTTTTAATGACTATATTTCTTTTTTCTTCTCAGACCCACGAAGACTCAATGAAAAAAACAGGCTCTTCCGCTCGGGACCGTTACACTGTATAGAAGCTTTCTGGTGTGTCATGGTCATTGGCACACTCCCACCCACATGCTCTCTCTCTCCCTCCTCCCTCCCCCCAACACTTGCATCCAACATTCAGCCTTGGGAGCTGCATGGGACATGAACTTTTTGTTCCTTAAAGATTTTTCCTTGTGTGAAGAAAAAAAAAAACAAAAAAATAAATAAAACTAAACCAAACAAAGAAAAGTTTGACTTGGAAAGCTGAAAAGCCTGAGAGGATGAAAGTGGATGGAAATGAAAGGAGACACCCATTTTATATATACACACACACACACACATATATATACATAATTACTGTTGAACAGTGTAAGGAGCTGAACTGAATTTTTCTTTTTTGACTACTTCCATTTGAGAAAAAAAAAAAATGGATTTTTTGGGGAGGGAAAGTTTTCATTTCTGTTAATGTAACAATTTATAAGTTTTTTTTTTTTTTGTCCCTTTTTAAAATAAAAAGGAAATAAAATATTATTCTTAAAGGTTTTAGTCCTAGCTCTTTTCTCATTGATAACAAATGGCAAATATTTCAATATAAAAATGTTTTATTTACTTATGTACACAATCTCAGAAGTATTTCTGTAGTGATTCCCCAAAGGTTTTTTCCATTTCACTGATCAGCATTTGACATTGTTTCTCCACCTCCTCATCTGTCAAAAGAAAAGGTGTAAATTGCAGGATACTTGGAAAATATGAACTGCTGTTAATATAGAAAAGATTACATAAGACTAATTTACCTTCCATCAATTCTGCCAAAAACGGAACAGTTTCTGGCAGGAGAGTGCTGTATGCTTCTCCAAGCTTTTGTTGAAGCTCATTCAACATGGCTAAACTAGCCAATCGAACCTGAAAGCCAAAAATAGACCAGTGAATAAAAATTAACTACCTTGAAAAGGGGAGGGGGGGTGCTCAATCTGGAAAATTGCTTACCTCTTTTTCTGTGTGTTTTGTTTTCAATAACACTTGATAATTCAAGCTTTTCCAGAGAATGTCATCATGAGTGGCTACAGCCAGTTGACCCAAGCAGGGCACCAAATGACTTATCACACGTTCTGTGTATTTTCGTCCATGCACATTTTCAAACTAAAAGTAAATGTGAAAATGGGGTTGATTTTATTTTTTTAGTGTTGATTTTATTTAGTGTTGTGTTTTTTTTTTGTTTTTTTTTTAAACTTACCTGATCAACAAGCGGCTGCATTAGCACTTCAAATCTCTCCTTGTTGACAAATCCATCTGTGTCATAAAGGAAACACTTATGTGCACAATCAAAAATGTAAGTCAGCAAAGTGGACGTGTGCTTTTTCCATTTTAGACCTGCAAAGGAAATTAAGAGGTTTCAGATCTAAACAACTTTCCCTGCCACTGGCTTTTCTTAGCATGAGGGATGCCCCATGCTGATAGCCTTGTGAAATCTTTTGAGAAGGTGGGCAAGTGCTGTTTCTGAGAATACTTTATGAACTTTGAATGCGGAAAGCTTTTGAAATATGAGACTAACACGAGCAATATTCCACAAAAACTGGTGAAGTACTTACTTGGATTTTTATCTTTGTGATTATGATCAAGGACATGTGCCATGTGTTTGACAATGTGACCTGCAAACATGGGGAATAAACTTCGCAAACTGCCTGCAAGACTGAAGAGAGGAAAAAAAAAAAAAATGATTTGACAAAGAAAAATACAATTTGTTAGAAATAGACAGATGTTCATTCAGAGTTGCAATTATCCTACCTGTCAGCTAAGCGATAGAAGACCAACACACGAAGAGGTTTTCTTTCATCTGTTGTGGCCCAATCATAAAACTAAAAAAAAAAAGTAAATATCAGCATCTTATTCATTCAATACAACTGTACAATTTATTGAGACTCTTCTATTTATCCTATCTACAGATATACAACTTGGTAGCTGTGATCATTGTGCATACACTTTGTTTATCTGAATTTTTGAATCGTCACTAATGTATGTGTGTAAGCTCAGAATACTGCTATTTAACATATAGCAGCAATTAGAAAGTAGGCTTGATCAGTTTACTTGTACCACTAATGAATATCTGTACACACAGCTCCAAATACATCTGAGTTGTATCCTGTTATGTAAACCGATTTGGATTGTATGGTAGACAGCTATTATATCAGACAAATTTCACCCAATTATTTTTTTTTTTTTTTCCTAACTCATCAGGCTTGAACAGGTTGACAAGATTGAGTTTTTGAAGAGTTCTCTCAATGATTCTGGGTTATTCAAATAATTGCCCTTATAACAGCAACTTAACTCAATGAATATTAGGAAAATGTTATAAATGAATTGAAACCAGTGATTAAAACTTGAACCTACCTTATGTTTTTAGCAGAACACAATACACAGATAAAACTTGGTTTGATTATAAAATAGTTTTAGTTTAAAATCACAGCATTTAGAATAGCTTAACTTTTTGACTGAATTTAGCTCTCGGTATTTTGCAAATTGAATCCAGGCAATACTGGGTTACCTTGCTAGTTTTGATGGGGGGGCTTCAACACCAGTCTCGGCTTACATTAAAATAACATGGCATTTTGGCTTTGCAAGTATTTCCCAATGTTTAATGCATATACTTAAAAGAAAACATTACCTTGAGAAACATTGGCTTGAATTTGGCTTCTGACAATTTCATCACCGTATTAATGATGGCTGTTATGACTTCACTTTCAATGAGTTCCAAATTCTCTTTGTCAACCTAAAGTGCAAGAGAAATAAATCAAAAGTAATGTTGTCACATGCCCACCCTCTCCAAATATGCAAAAGAGAAGGTTATACAGGGTGCATCAGAAATACTTCCGACATAATGGTAAAACATTAGCCAGATGCCAGTTTGGAGATATTTCTGCTGCATCCTGTATTATTTGGGAAAGAAAGACATAATACAAGAGGAGCACTAATTGGGGAAATTTTACTTCATGCAAGAGGTACCCTGGTTAATCAGAGATTAGAATTCTATCATCCAAGCAAATTTTGAACCCCTCCAAGAGAGGGAAAAAAAAAAAAAAAAAAAAAAAATAGTCAAAGGTCTTTGAAGACTTATAAAAAATTTTAAACCTAGTCAAAGGCCAAAACTATCTGGTTGCAACCCGTATTTTAAGCATATCAGTACATGGTGGGGTCACATAAACTTAGGCAGACCCAAACTCAGAAAGGAAAATACTGCAAATTCTCACAATTTATTTAGTAAATCTTCATAATTCCCTCCCCTCAACCATGATGTGTGCCTTTGCCATTCACTAGAAAAGCCTCTGCCAATTTCTTAAGGCCAATAGGCAGCCTAAGGGAAAACTACCCAGCCAACCTGTAACTATTTGTACCTAGTCACCAAAGAATATCTTTACTAAATTCATGTAGAAATCATTGCAAGTTTGACAGACATAAAGTATGAAGCATCTGCTATCAAGGCCAACATTTCCAAAGCCTTTTATGGACAGTCAGGAAAGAGAGGCAAACACTTTTCCCTTCAATTCAACAATGAAAACTGTCCACTAATCACTGCATTGATTTGAACAGGAAGAATTGATGTAATATTTCAAAACTGCTGTCTTGTTGAGAGAATTTATTTGAATAGTTATTTATATATGGAACTGTAAGCACTCACTTCCAATTCCAGCTTTGGACAAAGGATTGGGCTTTTGCTATGGTTGGTAGGAGTGGGGGGTCGTTTCACTTTGTGATGTATATACACCTTTCATTGCCAATGTTTTTTTCAAGTGAGCCTTTTTATGAATCAGACAGAATTACAATTCATTAAGAGTTTTTAACAATGGCTTCAGATATCTATCTATCTATCTATCTCTCTCTCTCTCTATCTCCCCCCCACCCCTTGATTCTTAAATAAAATTTTTTTTTTTCTCTCCAACAATGGAGTGTCAGCATCATGAAAATTCAATCATTCCCAATATTAAATGGCACAAGTCTCTTGCTACTTAAATTTTTTTTTTTTTTTTTTTTTAACCTTTCTTAAAAAAAAAAAAAAAATTAGTGAAACTTATGAATGATGAAGTGAAAGCTAAATCTTAAACAAAAATCTATGCCACTCACCTCATTTGAATCTAATCGGAAGTCAAGGCAAATGAAGAAAAACTGTTGCAATTCCTCCAAGAAACTGATGACATCATCTTTATTCATTTTATTGGCAATATGTTCACTCAGAATGGTCATCAAACATGGAAGACAATTCTGTGGATAAAGAATACACAAAATCAAAACATTTTGGGCTTTTTTTTTTTTTTTTTAAATGCATTGTACCAACAACCTCCACCGAAAATATTGCATGTAGAGTTTAAATATTAAAAAACATAAGAGAAATCAAACATTGTCCAAAATAAATTAGAAACTAAAGCAGGCTGTTTGACAGGTGACATGCAGAATAATCAATTTACATTGTTGTCATCACGTTTCAGCCGTTGTATGCTCCAGGTGATGTATATTAGAATTTTGAACCAAACTGTTTGTTTTGTCCATGTGGGGTAAGGTTGTTTTAGTCACGTGTCATGCCTTTTCTGCATATCTTTTTCAGTTACCTGAAGATGGTTGGAGTGTACTACAGCTGAAACATTGTAAATGTATGACAATAAAGATGAGGACAACAGCCCAAACAGTGTAAATCGTTAGAATACCTCATCTTAAATATAGTCAGATAATGTTTTTCACATTTTTTTTTCCCCTAGAACAGGAGAGAGAGATTGGTAAGAATAAAGTTCTTCCAAAGAAATTGTCACTCGCCTGTTATGAGAAGCATTTGGAAGTTCATAGGATAAAACTAAATTTTTTAAAATTATTTGCACTAATCTTGGATGCAGACGAGCCTTAACTTAAGAGGAGGGGGGTGTTTTACATCTTGACATTCGTTTTCCATAATTGTATCAAAACTTGGCACTAGAAGACACCAAACACTTGTGGCTGTGATCCTGTTGTTGAATAAAACAAAATAGGACATCCCCTGATTACTAAATTCAAAATGTCACAAGCAAACAGGAAGACAGAAATCTACACATCTGATCATCTTTCCAGGGTTTTTGATAAAGTGTATAAATCTGACCAGGGAGGAGATGGCTTCTCAGAAGGTGCACATATACAAATAAAATCAATCATTTGTTACTCACGGTTTTCTCTGCCAGAAAAATGCTGTAATTCTCAGAAACTGTTGGAATCAGCACTCGTGATGGAATAGACATCGCAACAATGCTTCTGCAACAAAAAACATTAGGTAAGATTTTCTTTGCCAGCCACACACAATACTGGTCACACCATTTCTTGTACGAATCCACTTGTGTCAAATTGAAAAAAATAAATATGCTCAACATTTTCTTTGAATTTTTATATAGCTGGTGAAGTTAATCTTGCGCACTGAGTGCTCCATGAAAAATGGCCTTGTGTCAGTGTTGGTTTATAATATTCTTTAATAGAATCATCCCCAAAGTTCTTCAAACAACAAAACAGTAGCCATTATTATTTTTGAATGGAAGAAAAATTCTTCCAGACATTTATTTTTTAAAATATTTCTCATCTCAAAATGAAATTGTTAAATATTAAATAGTGATAAAAGAATTCCTGCAGCCATTTAACTTTTGACAGGATAAAATATTCTCATTTTGGTACCAAGCCAATTTTGAAAAAACAATTTGAGTGATAAAAATACTAAACTGCAAGGATGAATAAGTTACATAAAATGGCTGGTTGTTCATTTCTGAGTACACCTGTCTGCTAGAATGGCTAGTTATATCCCCGTTTCAGATACCCGCTCAGGCACATTTGGAATTCTTCAATGCCCACAGAGCCAGTCTGCAGTTTATACTGGAACTATGCTGATCAAATTATAATTAGTTTCTGGCATGATCAGTAGGTAAACAAGACTTGAATGCTCAAACTCTCAGTCATAATGACTTATGACAGCAGAAACATTACGAGTTTCTAAGGTCAATATTATCAAAGACATCACTTCATAGACAATCAACAATAGTCAAATTCAAATCCAAGTCTAACCATTCAGCCATGCACTTATAGCTGTGCAGCCAAAGCACACCAGATCAGATATTTAAATCAGCAGAAAGACACCCCCGCCCCCACATCAGGTGTTCATACTTATAAAAATTATTTCTAAAGTTAAGAAAATAGAATGACTTCCCGCTTTACAAAAAAAAATTCTTACAAATTAGAGCTAAGTTACAAAATAGACATTCTCATAGTATCAGAAAAATGGAACCAAGAAAAACCTGTTTCTAAGTCATATGTGATAATATGAATTACGACTTTTGTTGTAGAAAAGAAATATAACTTAATGCCTGTCAATGTGAACACTTTGATTTAGACTTTTTTTTTTTACAAATTTAGATCTAAAGAAAATTTCTTTTGACAAAATGTCCAAGACTAACAAGAATGAAATTCTTAACTAAAAACCTTAAGTGCAACATTTTGGTTGTTCCTTCAAGAAAAAAAAATGTTATGATCAAAAGTACAAAATTGAAATTTTGGCACCACCTAAAATGAATCTATGTGTGAAGAAAGTTCAAAACATCCATCAACATTTTTCCTTTTCCTATTTTGTGCTACATCAGAAAGAATCTAACATTTTCCGAGCTGTTTTTTAATGAACACAAGACGCCTGAATTACTTTCAAAACAATCATTTGGGGTTTTTGATTTTTTTTCTCCAAATGAAATATCCATTCTAATGCAGAAAAGTCATCTTGTCAATTCCTTGAAACTTTTCATGTCCCCCAATTGAAATAAGTAGGATTCCCCCTTCTAGACTTGAGAGAGTTCATTCATATTTCTTCCTCAGTCCCTTAAGTAAATAGGTAAAGGCTTTTGTATTTTATAAAATCTCAAATTTGGGGATGATTGTAAGGGGCCATTGATCATTGGGGGGTGATCATCAAAACCATTGATCCACTCAAACATTTTCCACTTACCTGACAGCCTTTAAACGTTGAACAAGATTTTGGATGTCAAGCGATTCCAATGAGGAGAGAAAACAGATCTACAAAAGAAAAAAGAAACGTTTACACCTAAAAATAAAAGAATTCATAAAATACAATCTATGTAGAGATAATATCAGTGTCCCTCTTTTCAAAAGCCCCATCCTTCACTGATTTACAGATCAGTGACCTCTAACCAAATTGGTAAAGTGACCTCTAACCAAATTGGTAAAAATCAGAAATAGGAACTGAAACAAAACAAACTTACATATTGCAAAATGTCTGACAAGTAAGGACTGAGAAAAACAGATTTGTGTTCAACAATTCGATGCACCATCGTGACCGTACTCAGCAACAGCAAAGAGTTTCTGCAAATGAGACAGAAGAGGGGGGAAAAAAAGTCACATCAAAGAAAACAAAAAGATAAACAGGAAAATTTTTTATCAAAAGAAAGGAAAAAAACAAATCTGTTTGCCTATTTTAGTCTTTGTGCAGAAAATTCTTCAAGTCCCAATTAATTGATTGGTAATTGGCCATTAACCAATTAATCACCCCTATTCATACATACAGAGCTATTCTTGTAGAATATATCAAAAAATTTTAAAGAAAGTTACAATTTGAAAAATCAAATGATACTCAAGAAAATAACAAAGAGTTTTGAATTATTCAATCTTGGTGATGACTATAATCTGTTCTCTGCAATATATAATGCAGATTAATTAGCATTCAGCTAATTTGCCCTTAGTACAACCTAATGTGCATTTTTAGTTTAAATAATTAAGAGAAGCAAAGATTCTTTTCCATTCGAATTAATTTTTAGCAAAGCAAAAGTGTACCAACTGACCCAAGAAGAAAGTCTGTGTTTTTGAAAAGAGTGATAACAGAAGGCATTGTAAGTGAAAATTGTTTTAAGAGAAACGCATCGTTGACTGGCGCACTGCACACTTCACCAATACACAAAACAGAACATGCCACCAGTTGCACGCTGTCTTGACGTTGTTTCAACACTGCAGTCGCCACACTCAATGTCTGCAAAGAAAACAAACGACAAGTAAGAAGATTAAGAAATACAAGTAGTCTTAATTTTTCAGGAAGTTTTTTATGACCTTTAATTACACACATAAGGTTCAAATTTTGAACTTGTATTTCATGACACATTGGTGCCTATAAAATGTTTTTTATAATGTTATGATACAATGACTCCCATAATAGCCATGCAATTTTAAAAGTCTATAATTTTTGATCAAATATCAAGGTTTTGTTTTTGGATATTAAAAAAGAAAAGTGTCTATTTTCAAAAATTAATCAGTATTATCTTTTTTTTTGTTTTATAAACAGATGCACACATGTACATATTCATTTATATGCAGTTTATATTAAGTTACTTGTCACATTAGACTAGTGGTTACCAAACATTTTTTTTCTGGGCCACATTTTCAGAATTAAAATTTGTTTGCACCTCACCAAATTTTATGTGATAAAAGGTATATTTAAAAATTAAAAAAAAAAACAGGGTAAAAAGGAGATAACTGCGGATTTGAAGTCAGAACATTATCATTGATAACTCTCTCCTCCAATTTGCAGACCCTAGTTACTATATTCTTAATACTTGATATAATGCAAAAATATCACAATGATAAAATCAGTCAATAATTATTTATACTGGGACTCGTGCATGCAATTACAAGTAATCCATAATAATATTTTAAATTTTTAAATCGTATTTATTTTTGGCATTCATGAATTTTTTAAAAACTATTTCTAAATCTTTCATTGCCTTTCAATCATTCTGCCACACCACTAGACTAACATTTTTCAAATTTTAGAATTCCTAATTAAAAAAAAGAAAACAAAAAAAGATTCTTTCCTAATGAGTTGAATCTTTTTCAAATATAAATAAAAGCAAAAATTACGTGGTTGAATTCTTTGACTCCTCGTCCTGCCAAACGACGACAAAGCAGCTTCAAAGAGAAGAGAGCTGTTTGACCAATCATAATGTTCGTTTCATCAACTGAATGTTCAATAAGGAGCTTTGTTTCAACAATGTCAGTCAATTTTTTAACCAATGGCAAAAGAAGTTGTAGCTGGGAAAGAAAAAAAGTGTTTTTTGATAGAGATTTCAAACAAAAAAATAGACAAATCCACATTTTTATTGGTAAAACACCAAAATGAAAAACAGAAATCAAGACAACAATGAATCCAAAATCTTCAATCTTTTGTGGCCACAGGGTTTATGTCAAGATATCCCAAACATGCTTTTTACTTTTTTAAACATCTGCATATTGATTGTAACCCAATGGATTCAGCTTAGAATTTAAGAGAGAACCATATAAAAACATTTATGATGATTGAAAGCCATGTAAAAACAGAGGAGAAATTCTTAAAAGGTCATCAAAACAAGATTAAAAAACAACTTGTTCTCACATTAAGACAAAATGAACCATCTGAATTCAGAGTGATCCCAACCTCAGTTTTAGATCTGAGGCACACTATCTATTATATTAACAAACCAGACTGATTTTTTTTTTTTTCTATGGAATATCCATTTTTTGTTTTCTTTGTTCTCAATTACCCGACATTCACCAGTAACTCCCCCCCCTCCCTGTGTCAGATTTTATTTACTTTGTTTCTCCTTAGTTGGCTTTTATTTTGGAAAATATTTCACAAAAAATAACCTAATTTGATTTCAGCTTATGAAACAAAGAAAATGGTGATCTGGTTTTCATATTATTCAGTTTTCTAGGTGCAGTGTAATATACTTTTTATTGGGGGCAGGGTAAAAAGGAGATGGTTGTTGCTGTCCATCCTGAAACTTAATAAACATTTCATAATTTTAATGATTTGATTTTATATACTGGTAAATGTAAAGAAATCATTTCAAGTGACTAAAGTAAAAAAGCCAATCATGTTGTTTGTAACAAATCTGATTTGAGAACAAGGCTGTCATCTTGTGGCTCCCTAACCAACATGCAATATGAATGAATGCTTTTAAAAAAAAAAAAAAATCAGAAAAAAACGTTTTCTTACAATGTCTTCGTGAAGATCGTCTGTGAACTGTTGTAATTTAGAATTGAGCAATTCCAGAGATTTCCGCTGGACAGTGGTCAGTTTGTGATTAACTAGAGTTGAGACAACTTCAATAAACACATTATCTGGCAGGAGACTGCATACCTGGAAAAGAAATTGCCAAGGGTTGGGGGAATTTCTTATACAAACAGAAATACAAACATGCTTTTCTTTTAAGCATATTGACACCTTTATGAGTCATGCAACAGTTCAATTTTATTAAGACTATCAAGCAATATCAACTATTCCAACAGGCAAGAAATTAATTCAAAGACATTCAAAATGTTAGAATAGACTGTGACAATTGCTCAACAAATGAATTTGTTTTGTTTTCCATTGATAAAAAAGGTTACTTGAGCAACACACTATTCTGTTCATTTATTTGATTTTCTTTAAGGAGTTACCCACCACCACCAATACATTTTCATTTATATTTGACCCTTAATTACAGAGTTTGACACGCTGTATTAAACATATGTAAAGTGAGAAAGTGAAGGGGGAGAGAGAAGACATGAGTGAGTTAGCAGACATTGACACATTTAAACGGTTAACTTAACGGAAGTTATATATTGATATCAATGGGGTAGAGGAAAAAAAAACCCATAGAGAGAAAAAAGAGAAGTCATGAGAGAAGGTGTCACTAATTTTCTTTGTAAAAAAAAACAAACAAAAACAAAAAAAAAAACAGGCTAGAAACAGGCGGCTATATATATATATATATATATATATATATATATATATATATATATATACACACACACACACACACAAAGGTGCAATGGGTAAATTGTAGTCATTTTATATTTTTAATTTTGCACATGCACATTGTTTATTTTAGATTTTGTTGACTGCACAGTATAGTAGGGTCAGTTGGGCCACCGTCTGTGAAATAAAGAGCACCATGATGCAAGTCACTCTGCCAGAAATTTGGAAACAGCATGCTGTACTGCTTGGCATCCACACCAGAAGATCCAATATGAACATTTCAGAGTGCTTGGATGTCAATCTGAGAAAAGTACAGAGGATTCAGAAAGACTTGAACCAGTCGGATGGTGATTACGAAAGTATGCCAACTCAGAAAACACACTCTGATAAGAGAAGAATACCCGAATTTGTTGGTGAGGGACCCACATGGAGGCCTACATCAAGTATCTTGAGTTGGTAGTGCTGCCCTTGGTAAAGAGGCTGACTGCTAGAAGACATGACATCTAACATCAAGACACCGCACCAGGCCACACAAGCAGAAGAACCCAATCATGGCTGTCAGACAATTTCTGTGACCACATCACCCCTTACATCTGACCACCTAACTCTCCAGACGGCAACCCACTTATTATGTGTAGGGCACAGTCGAGCAAGAGACCAACAAAACTCTTTGTAACAATAAAGATGAACTGAAGGCAAGGATTACCAACTTAAACAAGGAGATGTCTAGAATTGCAGGAAATTCCAAAGTCGCCTGGAGGCCACGCTAGAAGCCAATAGCGATTTTATTTCAAGATATTTTTGTGTAATTTTGGTAAATATATCTGTTAAAATGAGATGTCAGCGATATTTTGATTTTTGCATAATTCAGACCGACAATTTATCAATCGCACCCTGTATATGTGTGTGTGTGTGTTTCTGTACATATAAATAAAGAAATCTCTTTATTATTCCATAGATTGTTTTAGCTTTGATCTTTACCACAACATTTCAATTGATGAAAACCATTGAAGAGTGGGGGGAGGGGGTTGTTGGAAATACATTGTAATAATGAAAATGAAGCTTTCAAGGTGTGTCAAGTCATGAATATTTATCATTTCAAAGTTTCAGATATATTTTTTTTTGTTCTCTCCTAATTAAACACTCACACGCAGACCCCAAACTACTGACTTACCTTATCCAAAAGATTTGACACTTGATTGCGTAGCATTTTCCAGAAGCGTGCAGGTTCAGGGTCTTGCCGCATTTCTGTCATTTTGGAAACATTACTTAAATAATGCAGAATGGTTTCTAGAAGTTTCTGGTAATTATCCTGCAAGACTGTCTCAGAAGTGGTTGTAATCTGAAAAAT